AATTCCTAGACAAAAGAAGACACAAAGTTAAGTATCTATTTTAGAACAGAGTGGTGTGTTGTAGCTGTTAAATCTATCGGCAATTGACCGTGACGATGAAACATGCTCTATGCGCTAATCTATAATGGAATGAACAAAAGTAAATGATATGAAATTAAAAGATGATAGGAGATCAAGGGGGAGATTGTTAGATTGATCTCTAATCCCAAACTGGGCCCAACGGCCCAGTTGGGCCTTTAATCTGTGCTCTGATCGGAGACGCCCAGCCCACTATGGCTGGAGGGTCCCTGTCACACTACGCAATAAATAGAGGTGGGGGCCGGCGGCTCTGAGTACGAGGTTCACCTGAGCCGAGCTCTCCACCGAAAAACCCTAACCCGATCTAGTGAGGGGCGCAGCCAGTGACGGGAAGCACCTCCACCACTTCACTGCGCCGCCATCGGTCTTCACCGTCGGTCGCCACCGCTCATCACCGTCACTGTCTTCACCGACCGTCGCTATCCTCGCGCAGACACTGACACAACGACCATGGTCGACGCCGCTGAATCGAAGCCCTATGATGGTCGGTAACCTAGCACTACTCCTCTCTCTAATCTCTGTCTAGTTCACGTACTAGAACATGTTATCCATTTACAAGATGTACCCGGCTAGAATAGATCAACATTCCCGACTAGGGTATTATAGCAAGATAGGAAATCATCTATGTCAAACGGGTTCAGACACGTCATTGAGATGGCATCGCCCCATGTGCCAGTCTCCGATGAGTAAACGTAGTTGATAATTTGTTCACCATGGCTACCTTGGAAGACCACCCGGTACAAATGATTGTCGCGTCGATGGCATACTTGGTGCCACCAGAAGTCGAGGGGTAGGGCAAGTGGCACCGGTCGCCAGAAACTAGGTCCCACACGGGCAAGTGGCACCGGTCGCCAGAAACTAGGTCCCACACCAAGAAACTATTGCCGTAGGCGATAAGGACATGGCCATGGCGGCAGCCATGGATATTGCTGCCCCTGGGAAGCCACAGGGTGAGGCGATCCGTGGCAGGGATGGGATCCGGTGGATCCAGCACGGGAGTGAAGCCAATCTTGCCTCTGTTGTAGAAGAAGAAGCCGAGGAGGGGCGCCTTCCCGTGGTGGGCGCGGAAGCGGCGGAGGAACCCGGGGTCGGCGACGAGGCGGCGCTAGCGCTTGTAGACAGTGGCGGCGCACGGGAGCGAGGACGGGAGTGGCGGGAGGCGGAGCAGGATCTGGCCGAGGAGGTCGTCGTTGCCCAGCGTGGCGGAGCAGGACGCCGCGTCGCCCTCCGCGGAGCTCGCCGGTGTGGGGGTTGACCTCGTAGTCCTAGTGGACGAGGTCCAACCAGTAGCCGCTCCGCTCGGCCCTGGACTCCCGAACCCACGGCCACCTCGCCGATTCCATCCTCCTCTAGCGGGTCGATCCATGCCGACCGCCGTCTCCCTCCCTCATGCGAGCATCTCAAACGCTGGCAAGGAGGAGGTAGAGGTGGACGCCAATACAAAGGCAAGGAGTGGCCAATGTCCAAAGGATAAGGCGGGGTGGGACTTGGGCCGAATCTGTGAGTGGGCTAAATATGAAATTAAAACAAACCATTACTGTTTAGTGTAGTAGATTTTTTTCACGGCAAATATTGTGGGTTTTCTTTTTCTTTGACTTTGAGGATCCAACTATGGTACCAGGCTCTTAGAGCAAATATGTGGGTTTTTCTTTTTCTTTGACTTTGAGGATCCAACTATCAACTTTGAAATTAAATAACTTTTCGAAATACTCGAAATGCGAGACGTTGAGATTATGAAGAGGCCTTTTAAGAACTGAACGAGATATGGAGAGATGGGGCCATTTTGATTGCCGGGCTCAGTAGCACATCATGCTACAGCCTGTTCGGTTGGCTGGTTTGTTTCGTTGCTGTTTCGTGAAGAAGTACTGCTGGCTGGTTTGTGTGAGAGAAAAATATTGTTCCAGCTGAAAATTTACGATCGTTTACGACAAGCCACAGCCAAACGAACAAGCTGCTAGTGGGCTACAACCCACACGTTGTTTGATTGCCTGGTCCAATTCTTGGACCTAGCCAACACGGTGCAACAGATATGGAGAGGTGGGGACCCCGCGGCCTAGCTCCCAAGAAACGAAATCGAGTTTCGTTTTTTTAGAGTCCGGCTCATTCGAGTCCCAGATGGAGGATTCGGTCATCTACGCTCGCACCTCCCACCTTTTGTTTTTCTCGGTTCTACGCCTCGCGTGTGAGACTACCCCGTCGCCGCACCTGCCCACGCCGTGAGCACCGGCGCGATGCCACCCTTCATGGGACGTGCCACTGCCGCCGGCGCAAGAAGCAAAAATAGCTTTAGGCTCTTTCCCAGCGAGCAGCCCTCGTTGGAGACATGGCCGGACAGGACCACCGGCGCGTTCAATGCCGCCGTTGTGTGTTGTCGAGGAGACGACGAAGTCAGAGACGATGGCCTTCTGTGCTGGGCCGGCGCTGCGCTCGCTGACGCCCACAGCGCAAGTGTTGTCGCCAATCTTGGTTATGCGTAGCTCGACCGTAGGCATGGCCACCAGCGCAAGCGGAGTCGAGCGAGGTGGGGCTAGGCGGGGCCGGTGTGAACTTGGAGGTGAGGCGGAGGTATGGGAACGCGGCGGCCTAGACACCTCGACGTGTTTGTGGCAGCGAGCACTCACCAGTTGAAGTCCCATTCTGTCTACCATGTACGCAAGGTGTTTGTGCAAATGTCTCAGAAGAACGGTGATATGTGCTGGGACGAAGAAAAGAATAACTTTACGCATGAGCTTATGCATGATAACAAATAAGAGTAGTTTCACCCAATGACCATATTCGTTTGTATGGCCTAGCAAAAGATGTCCAAACCTTAGCTTGGCATGTTTTGTACGTAGAAAATGAGGGCTTGTCTGGGACAGCTCCCCCAACTTCAGATCTAGAACTCCGTTCCATAAAAAGTTTGTCAAACACTCTAGCTCCACCAAAACAAATGGTGGATCTCCTCAAGAGGTGCTCCACCAAATTTGAATTGGTGGAGTTGGGAAAAATTACCCACCACTGCCACTGGTTCCACAAACGTACCTCTTTGTTCTTTTTTTATTTCCCCGTCTCCTCTCTCTTCTCCGTCGCGACTTGCAAGGACCGTGACGCTCCATCAGAACCGGCGCGCTTAGCCTTGCCCTCCTCGCCACCACCGGGCGTGAGCTTCCATGACCACCTCGCCGCGCCGGCCTGCAAGACCCCACCTTGCCCACCACAGCGTTCCCTCCCAAGACTTGCTCCGCGAGCTGAGGGCTCGACGCCCAGCCAGCTCCGGTTGGCTTCTCGCCTCGTCTCGCTTTCTGCGAAGCGAGCTCTTGCCCAGCTCCGGTCGGATCCACAACGGCCTCGCCCACGTCGGTTGGTCTGCTCGCCCGCCTTCCTCGCTTCGCTTAGCTTCGCTCTCTCTCGCGCTTTTCTTGTCCGCCGACCGCTCTGCCAGGACCCGCGCGAGATCCGCAGGCCATGCGACCTCTATCGGGAGGCGCGAGCTCCACCGAGTCTCGTGAGGCACGGCCCTGTGAGATGCGCTGGAGCCGCGCGGCCACGTGCCCAGCCACACCACGCGGGAGTCGCTCGCCGCGTGCCCGCCTCGCCGCCTGCGCTAGGAAGACTGTTGGCCGCGTACCTGCGTCGAAGGAGGAAGAAGAGTGCGAAGGACACTGACATGTGGTGCCTATCCCAAGGGCAAATCTGTCCATTCATTCAAAATGTCCTTGTTTGAATCTGGATTTACTTTATTACCCAAACGATTCTACGGTAGATCTCAGATCCACTGGTAGAGCTGCTCCCTGATGAATCCTACGTCTAGATTCAGTGTTTTAAAGGTGGATGTGTCCTAAACAGGCCCTAAATAAGAGTAGTTTCACCCGATGAGCATGTCACAGTCTAACCGTCCGATGAACATGTCCCGATCCATCCTATGGCCATAAGCCGCCCTTTGCCCAGGAAACAAAAAAAAAAGCCCTTGGAGACGGACGAAGCATTCGGCAGATTCCCCGCCATCTAGCGCACCGCGCACGGCACCGACAGGCGACGCGTCGCCCGCCCGTTGCCGCATCATCGCGGTTCTCCACCGACCACTCCGCTCCGCCGCTCCCAAATCGAATCGGCGCATCTGGTCCTTCTGATGAAGTGAGCCGGGGCCCGTGCCGTGCCTGCCGTCCCGTGAAGCCGTGCCCGTGACCGCCCCGCGCCCCCGCCCCCGGGGTCGGTCGCCGGTTTCCGCGACCCCGAATCCGCGTGCGCCGCCCGCCCGCCCACCCGCCCCCCTAAATCCGCCTCGCCGGCAGTCACCGGGGCGGGCCGCCACATCACACACCCAGCCTCTGAGCCTCTCCCCCCGCCCGCTTCTTCTCCCTCGCCATCCCTTCTGCTAGCGCCGCGCGGAGGCGCAGATCCATCGGGGGCTTCGGGGGCTCGATTCCGCGCCGCCCCCTTTCCTAGCTGGTAAGGCCGCCCTGGTGGGACTTCTCCTTCTCTTTGGTTCTATTGCTGCTACTACGACTACGAGCACTCGGGGTACTCAGATCCGTGTTGTTTTTCGATCCCGGTCGCTTCACCTCGTTGCGATTCCTGTCGTCCGCTGCGTGTTGTCGCAGTAATGCAAGCCTATTCCCACCAAAATCGCTCGGATCTCATGCTTTTTCTGGGGTGGGGGGTAGGGGGGAAGTTGTCTTTTCGTTTGCGTTGCGTCCCTGTGCTCAGTCAGTTCCTCAACTGCAGAGGGAGGGACAGACAGCCAAGCTTGCTGAATGCACTTTCTTTCTGTGCCAGGGATTGGATTGGAGCATAGCGTCTTCCCAGCACCACGCGAAAGCCATGACCATTCAGTTGCTCCGCTGACGACGACAGCACGGCTGCTCTGACCTGCAGACCTCTCGCCCACGCTGCCCTGACAGGTAAAGTCAGGGTGTGTGTGGGGAACAATCAGGTGAATAATCATGGACAGAAGAGCTGGGGCGATCCTAGCATGCCTGCTTATCATCGTCCTGGTACGGGACGCGGCGGCGGTCGCCGAGACCGAGCCTGGCAGCGTGCGGCTTGTACAGGAGGCGCCCCATAGGAAGGTGGTGGAGGATGGGGCCAAGGTGGGGAGGGTGCCGGTGTCGACCGTCGCGTGGTCCACGCTCGTCATGGCTGTGGCGACGGGGCTGGGAGCCGTGCCCTTCTTTTTCATGGAGCTCGAAGCGCAGTGGGCGGGCCTTTGCAATGGGATGGCGGCTGGGGTGATGCTGGCGGCCAGCTTTGACCTCGTGCAGGAAGGGCAGATGTATGGCAGTGGGAGCTGGGTTGTGTTCGGAATTCTGGGCGGAGGTATTTTTATCTGGCTTTGTAAGAAGGTGCGTAATGATTCTTTATCTTCATTTTTCTGTGATGCTATAACTAAACCAATCATATCAAGGAGTTTCATTTCATCATCTTGCAAATATGAAACCACATTTCAGTGGCTTTATACCTGAAGGGACCATTCGTGAATGTCATACAAGTTTGTTCAATAGTAGTCATTTTATATGGGGACCGATGGCATAATCATTTGATCCACTTCTCAATGATAAACAGAATCAAGGCTGCTACACACTAGCTATCTTGGATCTTGTCAAAGGCCTATGCCTATATTTCTAGATATGTTAGCAGTTGCTAAACAAAACATATCATTGACATTCAAAAGGTCTCTAATGTCAAAATATTTGTCAGCATATTGGTGCTAGCAATCATATAAAACCACTTATATGGTCTTTCACCCAAAGATTCTGTAGCTATCAGAGTTGACAGTCGCAGTTTTAGCAACCGCAAAACTTAAATGGGCATATTTGAGTACACTGCCCACATAATGTAAGTGTGCACACACTTGCCCTCATATGTATGCTTACAACTTTACAAGAATATTGTGCAGGCTACCTAAATAAAAACTTAAAGTATATATTCCACTTTACACTTGCATTTAGTGTATTCATCATCATATCAAATTTCGTTGGTACTTATGTTTTCAGATTAATTGGGATAACCTCTTCTCCATTATTTTGTTATATTTATTTATCTTTCATAACATAACTTATATTATTTCCCTGTCCACAGTTTCTTGAGCAATATGGAGAAGTAAGTATGCTGGACATAAAAGGTGCAGATGCAAGTAAAGTTATTCTTGTTGTTGGAATAATGACTCTTCATTCTTTTGGAGAAGGCTCTGGTGTGGGTGTTTCCTTTGCTGGCTCAAAAGGGTTCTCTCAGGGTCTTCTAGTTACTATAGCTATAGCAGTGCACAACATACCAGAAGGCTTAGCAGTAAGCATGGTTCTCGCATCTAGGGGGGTGTCCCCCCAAAAGGCAATGATATGGAGTATCATTACATCTTTACCACAGGTGCAGTTCTTAACTTCATTTCCTGAGTTGAAATATGAAATAATCTGAACGATGTATTGTCTTTATTCTTGAACCAATAATGAAAAGCATGCCATCTTTTGAGTTACCTTGATCTACTTGCAACTATGAAGTGACAAAAACCAATCTTTGTTTTGTGTACTTTTGAAGTAACTATGTTCTCTTCTTTCTCCTGGTGTCTGTGACTCTGTTTATTCATGCTCATGTGCATGTTTGTGCAAGAGAGTGATTCGGTGTAGACTCTAGAGTGTAGATAGACAGTTTAACTTGTAAAGTGGTGTAAGATTAAGGCTATAACGTTGCTGTATATTGATGAGCTTTGTCCTGTGAGGTCCTTATTAACTTCTCTAGCTATTCAAATTCCCAACTGAATCATAATGGTAGTCAATTTAGTGGCACTAACAGTAATATGATTTGCAAGGTGCAATGGGTGTTTTCTTCAGTCTTCAGGGCCAGATTCTAAGCAATTTTCTATCGTTCCTGGTTCCTGCTAATTTTGTATAAGCATTGCCATGTACTAAATTTGTGACCACATGTGCAGTTTATTTCTTATGTTGCAAATACATAATTCATCTTGTCATATGCAACTGGTGCAGTGGTGAGAGCTGTCTCACTGAGTCACCAGGTCGTGGGTTCGAAGCAGCCTCTCCGCAGATTTTGCGGGGGAAAGGCTTGTCTCGGTTTATCCCTTCCCCAAACCCCACTCATGTGGGAGCCTCCGGCACTGGGTCTGCCCTTTATGTGCAGTTTATTTCTTATGTTGCAAATACATAATTCATCTTGTCATATGCAACTGCAGTCTAATTCAGTTTCAGTAGTGACATTCTTTACTTTGTTTTCCTTTGTAAACCCAGCCAATTGTTGCTGTTCCAGCATTCCTTTGTGCCGATGCATTCCAGAAGGTGCTTCCCTTCTGTACTGGTTTCGCAGCAGGATGCATGATATGGATTGTTATAGCTGAGGTTCTTCCTGATGCTTTTAAGGTAAGTACCCTAAGTTAAGAAAACTGTGGATGCATTTGTTTGAGGAAGCAGTTTTGACATTTTCTCTGTAACATGCAGGAAGCAACTCCATCTCAAGTTGCTTCTGCTGGAACACTTGCTGTTGCTTTCATGGAAACATTGAGTACAGTGCTTCTGGGATTTACAGATGGCAACAAGTAAGTTTGCTATTCATTCTGATGGTCTTACTTGGGCTAAAAAAAGAACTCTTGCTGATGATAGAGATTTATTCTGCAGCTCGGAAGATGCATCAGGCTTCTTAGTATCACTTGTGTTTGGACTTGGTCCACTTATCGGTGGAATTATACTAGTCACATTCTCTCTTGGCTTCAGCATGCCACACCCTCTTCTTACTGGTGTTGCTTCTGGCATTGCTTTCCGTCTTGCGGCATGGAGACCTGTGCAGCTTCTAATGTCCTCAAAAATGGGTCTCTTTACCACCCTCTTTCTCCTCATTGGAGGTTCCTTGGTCTATCATGCTGCCACATCAAACATCCTTAGGGTGTTTAATCGCAAAAGATCTTCCGCAAATGTGATCACGTCATCCTCCGGCCTCTCTCTTAGTGTCCTCACAATGCAATCGCTCCTTGCTTGTGGTGCTGTATTCCTTCACGCATATGCGGAAGGGCTTGCACTTGGTGTCGCAGCTCGCAAGTCTTATGGCCTTGGCCGTTACATGGTTCTCCCAGCCTCCCTCCATGGTCTTCCACGGGGTGCTGCTGCTGCAAGCTGTGTGTATGGTGCTACGGATAGCTGGCGTGGAGCCCTTGCAGCTGCTGCTTTGATAGGGTTTGCTGCACCAAGCGCTGCCATCAGTGCAATCCTTGCAAAGATTGACTATAATGGACTTGACTACTGGATGGTCATAGCGTGTGGGGCTCTAATCCCCAGCTTTGGCCATGTCTTCAGGCGCTCACTGCGGTTGGACATGCGGAAGAGCATTGTTGGCCTGCTGATAGGTATTGCCTTTGCCTCCGTGTGCTTGATGTCGACTAGATTCATATGTTTGCACACTCCTTACTGCAACTCGGCTCCAGAAGCCGTCACATAACTTATGCTGGCCTGTGCTGTTGTAAAACACATGTAATACTAGTGTAATGACAATACAAAGGATGTGGAAGGTTAATATATATTGCATCGAAGAGATCTCTTACATCGGTAAATCAAAGGGAAACGGACATTGAACAGAATGTGCCTTTTTCTCGCTGTCACTTCTGTCTGTCGTGGAAGGTCCATGTAAATTATTCCCAATGTCGTATGCGTTACTTCTACAATTTTTATGTTCAGCGCTTGTTTCTCTACAGCAGTTGGTCAGTTCCTGGCAGGTACTCTACAAGATATTGTTGCTAGACTGAACATAAATATTGTTGCCAGACTGAACATATTTTGCACCAATATTCTCTCATGATGAGTTCTCTACAAGATTGGCAGGAACTGCCTGCCTGCTGTATCCACAAACCGTGCAAGCTACGTTCCTGATAAACCATGCGAGTTAACACTTGTGTTCATACTAAGCTTATTTGGAATGTAGAAATTTCACATGAACCATACAAGAATTATACATGAATCAGTTCAATTTGATAGAGAAAATGTAAGATTTGGAAGAAAAAAAGTTCACATTCCAAATGAAGCGTTGTTATCGAAGTCACTTACCCGTTGTACATAGTCCAGGTTCAACACCAACTAATTTACTATCATTAAGCCGGCGAGCTTTGGCCGCCGCTCAGACAGTCCACCATAGCAAAAAGAATTTACAGCGTTCATTTGCCGATCTGTGGTTTGCCTTACTCGGTTGCTGCCTCTGCTTCCCGACACTTCTCTTCCCTTCCCCACGCTTCTCCGTATTCCTCTCTCTTCCTCTCCCGAGCCCGACACCCTCCCGCGGAACGGCGCCTGCGCCTCTGCCGCCTCCGTCCACGCCTTCCCTTCCTCTCTCTCTCTCGTCCTCCTCTCCCCGCCGTCATTGCAGCGCCAGCAGGGGCTCAAGAGACACGCACTGCTGGCTCCCTTGATGGCGCCCAGGTTATGGGCGCCACTGCGCTGGCGCCCAGCGCCCACCCGACCCGCGCCACGCCACAGCCAAGCTGGCTCACCCGGTGGCCGCCGCCGCGCGGTGCCTCCTCGCCGCTTGCTTGCTCATGCCGATTCGCGTCTCCTCCTCCTCCTGTGCCCCACGAAACCCTAGCTACCTTTCTTCATCTCTTCGCCATGGTTCTTGAAGATGAAGGCTGCGCGTACAGCAGCTCCGGTAATCTTGAAGGCGCCACCCCCATGCCGTCCCTCTGCTCCATGACAGGGGACGAGCTTGACGACGGCGTGACCTAGCGCCGATTCCATAAGGTGCGTCACTCTGCTTCATCCTCCCTTTTCTATTTTGATTACAAAGATATAATTCACTCAACATTGTTTTTTTGGGCGCTAAAACAGAATGAGGTCATTTGTTTGTACTTATGAACAACCATTGTCCATTTTCTTGGTCCATTTACAGGATTATCAAGAGCACGGTTTCTTTCTTTGCAGAATTTTGCCGGGAACTGCTGAGTTGGTTAATAGGCTAACAGCTAATAATAGTGATGTATTCCTTGTGTCAGGAGGATTCTGACAAATGATCAAGGTAGGTCCTGTAGTATCATCACATGGTTTGTTTCCGCTGGCTTGTACTCAAATTTTAATGGTTGTTGTATTCCGAAGTTTGAGCTAACTTTACTTTAATGTGACTTTTGTTGAAAATAAATATACACTATCTGTTGTAAATAACCAGGAATGTAGGAAAGTATAAAAGTACAATTCCTTTTAGCCACTCTGTTAACTTACAGATTTGCTGAATATATGTAACATGGAAGTGACTGCTCACTCTAATGGGTTATCATTTAGTGGCTCACAATCATCACTTTCATGTCTGCCTTGTTCGTAGCCACCAGAAGATGTTTCCCTGTTATTGCTGAATGTAGCAGCCAGATTGGTCCTAACTTATTGCAGGACTACTTTTAGTTGACACACCTTGAATAAAAATATACAGCAATGACAGGATTTTATATAGGTGCCTTGGATTGTTCAGCATAAACGCTGTGTCATATTTACTTGCCCTCCTCAGCATGTTTGTCTCAACTAATAATGGGCCAATTTCTTTGTAGTTACCAGTGTCATTGTGTTCTATTTTGGTGCTTCCATAAAATTTGGATGTGATTATTTACAGACTTCTGTAAAAGTTGTTCTATTTTTTTATCTCCATATCACCCCTGATGGAAATGAACTAAACTGTAGCTTCCACAGGCCTACTATATTCATACTCCCATCTCCCAATTCAATAAGTGCTTTGCCAATTTTACTTATGTCGACACCTGAATGTTCTTCATTGTTATGATTCCACAGCCTAATCGTATCTGAGCTGATTTTTATGTCCAAAAAATACACATATCCCTTATGCTCCCACCTCCTTGCCATATGATCCAACCATCTCTGTTCATAATGTTTAAGATGCTATCTTCCTTTATGTTATTACAAGAAGCCCACACATTTGTGCTATGACTCACCACTTGGCAATGACTATTAAAAGAGCCATTCCCAAGCTTTGTACGATGTGAATAGCCTACAACACACGTCTTGATGCAGTATGATAATGCTTAGTCATGCTCCAGTAACCAAATGTGTTTAAAATCCCATGTGCTCTTGTTCGCATACAAATAACAATGTGAGGTGCTCCTGCTAATCATCATATCCATCTCGTTGCCTTTTAGATTCCTAATTGAATTGACCTCCGATCTTATAAAAATATATACACATCTCCAGATCTACAAATGCATTTTCAACTAACTGCCGACGCGCGCGAGGGCGCGCGTGATGGACTAGTAATTATAATAGACAACAAAAGAACCTATTAGCAAAAAACACCAAAACTAGACCATATAAAATTCAAATAACTTTGAGCTAGGTGCTAGAAGATAGAGTATGATTTTAGTAAAAAAAAATTATAACTGGTTTCACATATTTTTCCAAACTAAAAGAAACTTTCTAAAAATTTTCTATGCTTAAGCGAAAATTTATGATTTTTAATTGCATATCTAACAAAAATGTTTGGATTTTTGCAAAAAAAAAGGTATTTGTATTAGTAAAGTCAGTTTAACCGAACTATCAATAGTCTAATTTATCCCCTTGCAGTTAATATAGCACCACAAACTAAAACCATATAGGGTAAGAAAACAAATGGTTTTGAAATTTAAGGAGATCAACACCCAATTTTATGTAAATCAAACTTCAAGAAAAAAGAAGATAAAAGGACTCTTTATTTATGGAAGAAACGGAATAATTCTCAACTTACTCCACCGAGAGTGACCAACCTCTCAAGTCTCAAGGTCTAGCTACATTTGTATGATCCGCTCTAAAAAGAAAACACTAGTACCACCCTATGTTCTAAGTTATTTGTCATTTTGGTTTTTGCTATACATCTAAATATATGATATGTCTAGTTATATAATAAAAATTATGTATCTAGAAATACCGAAACGACCTATAAATTAGAATGGAGGGAGTACATTTTTATTTCTAACCTTTTTCCCCCATGAGAAGCTATAGTACATGTGTAGTATCAAGTATGAACATGCGAATGAAGTTAAGTTTGAACCTTCTTTAAATAACATCTTGCCGTCTCACTTTTGAAATCAAATTGTACATCTTAATTCTATCGAGTCAAAATAACAGGACATCTGTTCAAAGCTTTCCAAATACATAAATTGATGAATTTTCGTCAATTGGTGTCTGTCTGAAGTTTCAGGGCACACAGTCGACTGGAACTTCAGCAGCAAAAACTTTACTATTATACTGTAGCAACGTCAAGATTCCAAGTATGGTACCTTAAAACCGTGACTTCATCTAGAGCGGCATAAATTAGAAGAAAAACAGGTCAGTCCTTTGACGCCATTCAAGATGAGTGGACGTTGATGTCACCGTGTTCACTGTTTAGTCAAAGAACTTCACCTCAGTTCCTTAAACAACTGCAACAGTTGTAATTGAAACCGTAATGAAACGGTAGACAGTGGCTAGTTCACGGCACAGTAAGCTTAAAAGTTATTTTTTAATCTAATTGGAGTTGGGCACTTGAGATATAGCATAATAATACTCTGGGCTTTAAGAAACTATACTGTATGTATTAGCTCTTTCAATCAAAACTTTTTAATCTAATCGAAGCTTAGACCCTGTTTGGATTTATTATCTGCTAATAGTTAGATGGCTAATAGCTCATATCTAATATTAGTTGGAGGGTGTTTGGATGCGCATCTAATGAAAAATGCTACTAGGTTAACTATTAGCTGCTACTGCTATTATCTAATTTGGTTCAATTAGTGAGATAGTTATTATCTAAAGATCCAGCTAACAATTAGCTATTTTATTAGCTGCACCTGTTTGGATCCAAGAGAGATAACTATTAGCCGATAACTATTATCTATAGGGATCCAAACTGGGCTTTAGTATGTATTGCAACTAAAAAAAAGAACGTTACATTCATTCACTTCCTAATATAAAGGAACAAATCCATGATACTCAAAATATGGTGAGACGTACATCTAAACTGGATGTTGGTTATTTAAGAAAACTGACACGTGGACCTTCCATTTTTTATATATACCACCAAGATCAATACGGTTTAGCAACATCCTTTAAAACAGGCATTTATGGGGAAAACACAGCTTTTGTTTGAAGAACACTCTTACAAAATATAAAAGATACTCCTTTTACAGGATTTATAAGTGAATACCCACAAGATACACTAGAAATAAAAGTCCTCACATAATAAAACAAAAACATTCCATCATCGACCTTATAGATAAATCTTGCAAAGTATTTGTATACGTGTTAAATTAGAAAATGAACAAAAGACAAGCAAAGGTTAAGTTTGATATTAACTTATCCCTAAGTTTTAATATTATTGCTCTTATATAAAAAATACTAGCCCCATGAAGTTGCATATAGGTTGATCGACTATGTCGTCGCAAACAATCTCTTACTTATACTTTTACCTTAACTCGATGGAATTTGTGTTGTGATAGAAAAATGAACAAAGGAGAGCAATCAAAGACAAGCAAAAATGTTAATGTGGCTTAAATTTCTCTAGAGTTTTAGTACTACTCCCGTCCTGCAAAGAGTGACGTTTTGGTTTTATCATAAGTCAATTATTTTATGTTTAACCAAATATTTAGGGAAGGTCATTAATATTAATGACACCAAATAGATTTTACTGTAAAAATATATTTTATAAAGAATCTAATGATATTTATTTGATATCATTACATATATTTAGTCAAAGTTAAGATTGTTTGACTTTGAACAAAACAAACATGACACTCTTTGTAGGATAACTAATAAGGATAATACTTCCTCCGTCTTAAATTATAAGACGTTTTGACATTTCTAAATTCATACATTTTATTATGTATCTAGACATAATATATATCTAGGTGTTTAGCAAAAGCTATGAATGAATCTAGAAAAGACAAAACATCATATAATTTGGAATAGAGAGGGTACTTATTGCTCTTAATATTGGTAGCACGTCCTTTCAAAAAAATTGCTAGCACTTCAGGTTGCATGTGTTGGTAGATTATTTTGTTGAATTTGCGTAGTCATCGGGTCATTTCTAGCATTCTGTAACTTGTACTTTTACCTATTATTACCTCTATTAATAAATAAATTGGAGGTCAACCCGGCCCAGTCATGTCATTATGTAAGTAGCCGATGTAGAATAACGGCACAATCAAACGGTGTGGCCATCTGTACTTTTTTGGGTTAGTATTAAAAAAAGAAAAGAGAAGCGGAGAGCACACGCAGTGACTGTACTAGTGCCGTCCTGAACGGCGCAGCACCAGCACGGCCACGCATCCAGAACCGACGGCAGGTCGCGCGCGGCGGCGGCAGCGCTGGATGGTGGATGCGACCGCCCGCAAGCCACGAGGCGTGCGTGCCGCCCGCGTCGTCCCGACTCCAACACCCGCGGCACAGGAGGCCAGCAGCGGCAGCGCTTTAAAAATTCCCGGCGCCCGCGCACCCAGCTTGGATGCCACGGCAGCGGCACCGGCGCCCTCCACGACTACTTCCCCTCCCCCCTCATATAACGCAACCGCCACCGGCCCTCCCTCCTCCATCGTCCAGGTCCAGCGAAGCAGAGCCAGAGCAGGAGCAGGGCACGGCGCCTTCGTCCGCGACTCCCAATCATCAACCGAGTCAGTCAACCAGCCATGAAGCTCAGGCCGCTCTCTTTCACGCGGTGCGCGCCGTCGCCGCTGGGGTGCGTGGGCATGGGCATGGGCGGTGGGACGAGGAGGAGGACGGTCCTTGTGGCCCTGCGCCGGGACGCCGCCGGCAGGGAGCTGCTCACCTGGGCGCTCGTCAAGGCCGCCGCCGCCGGCGACCGTGTCATCGCGCTCCACGTCTCCACGGCCGCCGCATGTGCCGCCGCAGATGGTGCGCGCATTTCTCCTTCTCCCGCGACGCCGCCCACTACTGCAATCTGCCCCCCATCGGTTCTTGACATTGGTTGCTCTGGATCGCGCAGGGGAAATGGCGGCGGCGGAGGAGAAGGCGAGAGTCAACGACTCGCTCGCCTCCGTGCTCGGCGCGTACAGGGGATTCTGCGAGCGCAACCAGATCGACCTGGAGCTCAAGCTCTGCGAGGGGCCGTCCATCAAGAAGGCCCTGGTGACCGGGGCCACCTCCTGCGCCGCCGCGCACCTCATCCTCGGCGTCACCAAGAGCTCAAGGCCTTCCGAGTACGCCTTCCACCTCTTCCACTTCCACATTACAGGTTGTTATCATTGAGAAATGCTCAGCTGCTGTAACCCTGTTGGTACGTTTCATCAGATCGTCCGCCACCGCCACCGCCGTCGCGAGGTACTGCGCCAACAGAGTGCCCCCGAGCTGCATGGTCACCGCGGTCAGCAACGGCGCCGTCGTGTACCGCAGAGACCCCGTGCACCAGCACCACCAGCTGCTGCTCAGCCCCTACAGCGCAGTGGTGGAGACGCCGCGGCGGCTGTACCGCAAGATCCTGGACGCGAGGACGACGGCGGCGGGAGACAAGTCCCAGGACGACATGGCGATCGGCGGCGCCCGGTCGGTGCGCCGGCACATGTCCGCGGCGATGAGCGCCCTGGTCTCGCCGAGAGTGAAGCTGGCGCCAGCGGGTCCGGCGAGGTCGTGCCACGGGCAGCAGGAGTCGCCGAAGATGGCCGCCGGCTGGCCTCTCCTGAAGGACAACATGCCTGCCTTGCCGGAGCTGTCAGAGGTATCTGTGGTTGAGTGGGCCATGCAGCTCCCGGCCAGGTGCTCAGACCAGAGATCCGATGAGCGGGGAGAGGAGAAACCAGCTCCGGAGGAGCTGGTCTCGCTCAGAGACAAGTACTCGTCCAAGTACACAGTGTTCAGGTACAGTGAGCTCGCCAAGATCACCGATGGCTTCTGCCCAGGTACGTCTCTGTTTAAAATTTCAATGCTGAGATTTTGAAACAATTGTTTTCAGATAAATTGAGCTGAACGATGATGGATTGATGATTGTGCTGTGCAGATCGCCTTGTTGGGAAAGGCGGCGCCGGCCGGGTTTACAGGGGGTGTACGGAGGGAGGCAAGGAGCTCGCGGTGAAGGTCCTGAAGCCCTCGGACGACGTGGTGAAGGATTTCGTGTCGGAGATCGAGATCCTGAGCTCGGTCGAGCACGAGAACGCCATGTCCCTCGTCGGGTTCTGCCTCGACGGCGGCAAGGACAGGCTCATGCTCGTGTACGATTACATGGCGCGAGGCAGCCTGGAGGAGGTGCTGCACGGGAACGGCGGGGAGAAGCAAGGCAATAAGGGTGGCGTGGCAGTGCTAGGCTGGCCGGAGAGGTACAGGGTGGCCGCCGGCGTGGCGCGTGCCCTCGAGTACCTCCACGGCGACGGCGACGGACACCGACCCATGATTCACAGGGACATCAAGTCGTCCAACATCCTCGTCGCCGGCGACTTCGAACCCACGGTGACGACCGACGACATTTCCGGCGTTTCAGCAGATGCAGAAGTTCTTCAGGCTTTGTGACATGAACTTGAACTGAGACCCCTCTTCTCTGTGCTCGTATCATGCAGCTGTGTGATTTCGGCCTCGCGATGTGGGCAGATGACGCGGCGGCGCAGGTCACCGGCGACGACGTCGCCGGAACATTCGGGTGCGCTTTCCTGTCATCTTTTCAATCCTATTTATGTCACCGACCGTGGATTTCTCTGACACAAATGCAATCAGCTGACGAATGTGGGGATCTCTTGGCATGGCAGGTACCTGGCGCCGGAGTACTTCATGCACGGCAAGGTGAGCGACAAGATCGACGTATACGCGTTCGGCGTCGTGCTCCTGGAGCTCATCTCCGGGAGGAAGCCGGTGAGCGCCGGCGGGGCCAGGGGCAAGGGGAGCCTCGTGATGTGGGCCAACTCCATCATACAAGGAGGAAGGATCATGGACCTCGTCGACCCGAACCTGCCGACGACGTACGGGGACGGCGACGGCGACGGCGGCGAGGTTGAGCGGATGGCCCTCGCTGCTGCCCTGTGCATCCGGCGCGCGCACCAACTCCGGCCGAGCATGAGCAACGTAATAATGAAGCTCTCACCTCTGAATGAACTCTCAGTTCTCCAGTGCGTTAGTTCCATGTTCGTTGCTTATGCTGACGTGCACGTGCCACTGCGCTTTACTTCATTCAGGTGGTGAAGCTGCTCGCCGGCGACGAGGACGCCGTCAGCTGGGCGAAGTCGCAGTTGGGCGTGGCTGCCGACGACGATGGCCGCCATGGCTGCAGCGCCGTCATCTCGCCGGAGAAGAATGACATCCAGTCTTACATCAACCTCGCCCTGCGTGACGTCATCGACGACGACGCTTCGTCCGTCGGGAGCGGCGTCTCCTTGGAGGAGTACCTCAAGGGAAGATGGAGCCGCTCATCCAGCTTCGAGGGCTGAATGGCTAGCTCCACCTGATGACCTTCGCCATTGGCGGGGATCACCATTTTTGTGTACATAGATCGATTGTTCTCTTGATTATTTGTTCTTTATTAGTTTTCGACCGATTTGTTCTTGTATAGGCAGCATTAAGCACAATTTTGTTCCTTCTTGTTAGATGGGAAGTTGCAAATGAAATTATGTAATAGCAAACGGATGCAATAATACAGTTTTGTCAGAAAATAAAGAGAGTATAAAAACTGACGCAGGTGCACCGTCTGTGCTGTTACAACTTGCATCAGAGTATAAAAATTGCCCGTGTAATATAAGATCCGGTGAAAAATAAAGCCGGCCGATAAGTCGGCTGAAGCAGTTTTGTTTTAAAAAAAAATACTGTAGATTCTAGCTGACAAGCCGAGCGAACAGGCCCGTCTGGTGTCCAGTCAGTAACGAAGTACGGCCAATCGGCGCAGGCGTGAAGCACAACAAAACATCAAGAACCTGAACGTACAGGACAGTCCAATATAGCCAATCGGCGCAGGCGTGAAGCACAACAAAACATCAAGAACCTGAACGTACAGGACAGTCCCAGATATATAACCCAACAATCAAAGTCAACGAAATGAAATGTTGCATGATTAGGCCTGAGAAGGAACAATGCAAGTTGCATCACAGGCACATGCAGCAGCATCATGTGGATACAATCATACAAGCACCGCAGCACGACCTCAAAGGCACATGCACATATGTGTAAACAAAATAGTAAATAATATATATATATATATATACAAAATAATTTATTTTGTAGGCACTTTGAGTTACGATAATTACTATGTTAATTTACGAGATTATAGTAACTTCTTACTAAGTGGTTTACTACAACGTTATGATAAATATCCCCATGTGTTATAGTAACTCAACTATCGTAAATATGAATTGACATTATCGTAAATTAGTATATAAAATTATCGTAAATGGAGGTGGCTACGGAATAACTTATTTTATAGCTAGCTACTGAATAGCCTCTCCCTATATATATATATATATATATATGGCGCCGACAGATAGTTTTTAGTTTTTTTCCCTCGCATCTGCTCGCAAAGCATTGCTCTACTTACTCCCTCCAATCCAAATGTTAAGCTTTTATCTAGACATCATATGTATGATGTATCTAACTATATAGTAAAAGCCATATACATAGAAAAAATCAGAGAAGACTTAAAATTTGAAATGGAGAGAGTAATTATGAACCTGTGAATTCATTATCCACTGCTTCTAATCATGGAAAAAACAAACCAGCTGCTGAAATTTATACGAGAAGCTGAATTCAGAATTTCAGATGAGCCTAAACACAGCTATGAAGGGAATAAAAGACAATCCAAATAAATAGCAACAAGCTACCAAGTTGGCCCCTGCAAATAGCGCGGAACTCTGTTGGTTTGTTTATAACAGTTTTCAGATTTTTTTTCTTCGAATATCCTTTTTACAAATAGTATTGTTTATTTTTTTTTATTATATCTTCTCTCGATCTGTCTTCACTCTATTTATTGGCATAATTCCAACCCTAACTTAGAGCTATTCAGCGCGTTCGGCTGGTCGTGTTATGGCTTGTTTCAAGCTTATTCTCTCTCACAGAACACTATTAAATCATCCGAAACCATCCAAAATTCACTGTGCAGTCTACCAGCCAAACACGTATATTGACAACTTTCTTGTCTCTTCCGCTTTTCCTAGTCCTATCTTGTGACTGCACAATTTCTATTTAGGTCAAATCAAGTAGCCTTCAGTCTCATCATGGTGAGCTGCGGTGGTGATAAAACCACTTTCCAAATCTTTCGTAAATTATCTAGTTCCTTGGATCTCTTATAGATTAAAATTTGAGATAATCTTCCATCTTTTGTTATGGATCTACAGATTCATTTTTTCCTATAGTATTGTTTTGTTATGGATCTATATATTCCTTTTTTCCTATAGAATTTTTTTGATTCATCATATATAGTGTTTTTCATGTTTTGGAGCTTGACACCATCGTATAGTTCCATATAATCGTGACTTAATAGACAACTTCTATAGTGAGTTGTCCTTTTAGTTGCTCGTATGGAGGACATTGTGAGTTGCATGGCAATCGTAACTATACAAGCAGACATCCGAAAATTAATAGAGACAGTCACTTTTGGATGTCCGGCTCTGTAAATTAATTTTAAGAGGCAAACATATGAAGATATCCACCTTTGAAAATCGCTAGTACATACCTTTGCTGCAGTAAGTGATGATCTTGAGAGGCTAAATTGATTTGGGGAGCAGATTTCTTTACTCTTGAATAGCTAAATTTACAAAGTTTCACTACCCAACCTATTTTTTTTGTGACGGCTGAAACGGATAGGGAAAGTAGCAAAAACCGTCACAGATGAATTTTCGTGACGGTAATCGTCAGGGATCAGCCATCAAGGTCTAGCTGTCACAAAAAGTCAATCTTCCCTGATGGGAAACCATCACGAACTCAACTCTGACGGTGTGAACCGTCACGGAAGAGTTTCCATGACGGTTTTTCCATTTACCATCAGGGAAACGTTCCATGTCAGCTGCTACACCGTTAGGAAACATTCAAACCTTCTGCGTCGGTCCCAACAGTCAGGAAAGACTGAAACCTTCGGTGTCGGCTTGAACCGTCCGTTAATGGAGGCCCAATCTTTCCTGTTGGCACCCCAAATTGTCAGGAACACTTTATGCCTTCCCTGTCGGTCTAATACCGTAAGGAAATCTAGGATTCCCTCCATCAACTCACATATTTTAATTGCGAATTGATCATAGATCAGTTGGTTGGGTTCTTTATGGTGGAACTTGCTCACCCGGGTTCAAGTCCTCGACTTAGCACGGGTGCTCGCATTTTCCTGGATTTATTTTAGGATTTAATGGCGCTATACTTTCTGTGGTAGGCGACGTCCCCGTCGACAGCGAGGCTCTAGTGGCGACTTCATGAATCTTGAGATTTACCAGCTCAATCTTTTGGAGGTGCTCATAGTTATAGGGTTTGCGTACGTGTGTTCATAAATGTTAGTGTGCGTACGTGTTGTGGGCGTCTACGTTCTGTGTAATTCTAAAAAAAACTCACAAATTTTAATCAATTTAGCCATTACAAATAATACCATAGAAGCTCAATTAGTCATACATCCACAGTCACTACAAGGACAGATTCAGCAGTGTTGATAGGCACATATATATTATCATATTTAAAAGTCATACTCCCTCCGTATACAAATAAAACGACGTCCTGGCTCCTCGCGTAGTTTGCGGATAAAACGTCGTTCTAGCGCCGCAGCCCCTCCCCTAGACTTGTTTGCCCCTGGCTCATCGATCTCTGCGTGCAATTACTCAGCGCCACGCGTGGGACGCTCGCCTCGATTCACGCCGCGTGTGCGACGCTCGGCCTCTCGTGTGGTCGTCTGCGTCTTAAAACCGCGCGCCGCTCGAGTACCAACTCGCATCGCTGCACGCTGCGCCGCTCGTGCTCGGCCCCAACTCACCTCGCGCAAAGAAAAAAAAGAAGCAGCAACCAGCGTGTTTTGCCAAAAAGAAGCGGGGCTGAAGTAGTAGAAGCGCCATGCAGCGCGAAATCGTCCAGGCCGCGCGCAAGCCATGCAAAATGCGCTAAAACTACAAAAAAATGGAGACAGTGGGGAGTCGAACCCGCACCGCTCTCAACACCAGACACCAGCCCCTGTTGCGCTAGCCAGTAAGGGTGTGCAACTTTCTTGTATGGAATGCAGCCACAGCTGTATTTAATAGGGGTAGACAGGGAAAACTTTACCCTAATTAATCACTCCTTGGTATGCTAAATGCTGTCCTAAACGTCATTTTTTACCAGTATGGAGGGAGTACATCATATAGTTCATGACTACATCAAGCTATGAAGCTATGGCTTCCTAACAGGTCCTTGTAGCTGCTGCTTATTAATAGGTCCATGAATAGATCAAGCTATGACTAGAACATGTCCTTAGGCAATACCCACAATGATAGGCCAGGCCAATTGATATGTTTGTTTCTATGGTAGTGGAAGGGTGTTGTGCTACGAGTCGATCAGTTCTGCCCTAATATAACTATATGATACTCAAGACCTTAACCATTTTCTCCTCAGTTGACAATGCAAACAAACAGAAGTGGTACAAGAAGATGCACGCGAGAGCACAAGAGCTAGACTAGGATATGTAGCAGGATCTTCAAATCCAGATCTCACTGATATGATAGGAGTGGCTCCAGACGCTCCAGCAGTGGTGTTTGCTGATACCCTCGCATGGCATGGACGATCATGGATTAGCCGGAGCTGCATGCCAGCGAAGATCATTTGATCATTTTGATGCGGACATTTAAACAACCACCAATGTCCAATGCCCCACTACTCTGTTGCTATTTTCAATGGGAAGACGGGAAGAACAGAACATAAGAGACGTATCCTGAACATGGCTACAGTCTGCCTTTTGTTTTTGAGATAGATATTTCCTGTTGGGAATTGATACTGCCAATCTACTAGCTAGCTACCCCAGTAGTACAGTGCATCACAAGCGTGCGTCGTATTGCCATTGTTTGCTAGTTCAATCAGCCTGTCCCACTCTCATTAGCAATTTTTGCACCATTAGTATAAATACATCTACTTTCTTGGATCGTGCTCGTGCACGTTTCCAATAATGTAGCAGCGCAATAAAAAATTGTACACAATCCCAGTACTCAAACTGGCTGAGCCTATATATGTCATATAGTATCATAGCTAACGCTACAAAACAAGGTACTTTCGTGTCTGAGATACACAGCACATCACAGCACAGCACAGCACAAAGGACAGCATCGTCATCACAAAGCTCAGCTCAGATCGACAGATCGAGAAACAACATCGTCAGGTCCAATGCAAAAAGGGATGGTTTTGCAATCGCTAACATGTGTGCTAGATCAGCACGTGCCTCAACAATGGCAGCTCCTCCCAGCAACCCCCCTCCTGCTGTTAGCCATCCTGCCTCTCCTCCTCTCCATCTTCCTCGTAGCAAGAACAACGAGCAGGCGCAGGCACATCACCGCCAGCACGTCGTACCACCTGCCGCCGCGCGCGCCGGGGTTGCCCATCCTCGGCAACCTGCACCAGATGGGCGCGCGCTGCCGCACCGGAGCCTCCGGGAGCTGGCGCGGCGCGGGACGTGCTCAAGACGCACGACGCCGACTGCTGCAGCCGCCCCGACACGCCGGGGCCCAGGCGGCTGTCGTACCAGCACAACGACGTGGCCTTCAGCCCTTACAGCGACCACTGGCGCGAGCGGCGCAGGCTCCTCGTCGTCGAGTTCCTCAGCAAGCGCCGCATCCAGGCCACTTGGTACGCCAGGGAGGCCGAGGTATCTATCTATATTAGTGCCTTGAGCTTAGTTGGGGCTCCACTCGGAGTGCTGATTGGACGCCACTAATATCCATAGGATGGTTAATTGTCAGATGGAGAAACTCATCAGCAAACTAAGCAGCGTGGGACGGCGTAGACGACCTGTGTTCCTGGAGGACCACATCTTCGGGTACATGGACGGCATCGTGGGCACGGTGGCGTTCGGCAACATCTACGGGACGGAGCACTTCGCGTACAAGGAGCACTTCCACCACGTGATCGACGAGGCCATGGTGGTGCGGTCCAGCTTCTCCGCCGAGGACTACTTCCCCAACGCCATCGGCCGCCTCGTCGACCGCCTCACCGGCGTCGCCTCCCTCCGCGAGAGGGTGTTCAGGGAGTTCGACGCCTTCTTCCAGATGATGCTCGAGCAGCACCTCGACCCCACCCGCCGCCCCAAGCAGCCCGACAACAATGGCTGCGGCGGCCTCATCGACGTCCTCGTCGGCCTCATGAAGGAGCACCAGCAGCAAGGCTCTTTTCAGGTTCAGCAGAGACGTCGTCAAGGCACTACTAACGGTATATATGAAATTTAATCAAAGTCCTTTTGATTATTCGTGATAAATAAAATTATAACAATATCTATGTCCTGCCTAATAAAAAATATAAAATCTTGTACTAGAACACATTTATCGGTGCCGTCGACACGGGCGCGGTGACCATCATCTGGGCAATGGCGGAGATGGTCCGGAAGCCGAAGGTGCTGAGGAAGGCGCAAGAGGAGATCAGGGCCGTGGCGGGCAGCAAAGGGCGAGTGCAGCAAGCCGACGTGGCGAAGCTCAGGTACCTCACGGCGGTGGTCATGGAGACGCTGCGGCTGCACCCGGCGCTGCCGCTCCTGGTGCCGAGGGAGACCATGCGGCGCATCACGGTGTCCGGGTACGACGTGCCGGCGAGGACGAGGGTGTTCGTGAACGCGTGGGCCATCGGCAGGGACCCGGCGAGCTGGGACGACCCCGAGGAGTTCGTCCCGGAGAGGTTCGACGGCGACGTGGCCGCCGCCAGCTTCTTCAACCGGGCGCGGTTTGAGTTCCTGCCGTTCGGCGCCGGGCGCAGGATGTGCCCCGGGATAGACATGGGGTGGCCACCACGGAGTTCACGCTCGCCAACCTGCTCTACTGCTTCGACTGGGAGCTCCCGGAGGGGGTGAGGAGGGAGGACGTGAGCATGGAAGAGGCCGGAGGACTCACCGTCCATAAGAAGACGCTCTCCTGCTTGTGCCGACCAGATACAGTCCGTAGCATAAGAATTAAGAAAGCACGTTACAATAATCTCAAAGTCACAGCTATGAACAATTATCTGTGCAATCTCAAAGTCACAACTATGAACAATTATCTGTAGGTTTTTTTTCCTCAAAAAACAATTATCTGTAGGTTGGACTGAACAAAGTAGTTTCGAGATTCATCGTGGTTCGATCAATATATGGATCCTTCGTTTTAAAGGAATCAATGTCGCACTCCAAAACTACCAAGCTTTTAAAAAGACAATCTGTAAGTGACAACTATGAATAACTATCTAGACATCCAATTCTATTCCCGCGGTCATTCATTGGTTTCGAATCCAGCGAACGAGAAGATTCTCCACTCCACGTCCGCGCCATACGTTGTTCGTTGCCTCTTTCCTGTTACACGGAGTGTAGGCTGCCTCTTTCTCTTTTTTATTTTCTCTTTTTTCCTTTACCTTTTTATTTTATTTATACATTAATCTATCTATTTTATTGTAGACATATAATATGAAACAGAGCACCATATTTTTTCTTTTTCACCATTTTTCTCTCTTCTTTCACTTTTTCTCTTCTTTTGATCTAATTGAATCTTATGATAAAAAATCTACAAAAGTTGTAATGAGAAGTCATGATGATAATTCATCATGTAAAAAGTTATGTACATAAGTTGTGAGTATAAGTTGTGATGATAAGTTATTCTATGCATATAATTTATTTGTATAACTTGTAACTTTTCCAACAATGAAATGTTATCGAAATATTTTTCTCCAAAAGAAATTTAAAACTTATGATGAAAATTATGATGATAATTTATCACGTAAAAAGTTAAGTACATAAGTTGTGAGTATAAGTTGTCCTGTAAAATGTGATACACATAATTTATTTGTATAACTTGTAACTTTTCCAACAATGAAAAGTTATGGAAACATTTTTTCCAAAAGAAAGTTAAAACTTATGATGATAAGTTGTTACGTTAAGATTATGTGTACAAGTTATACGTATAATTTTGTAATTTTCCAAAACAGAAAAAATGCAGGAATGATTTTTCCAAAAAGGAAATTGTGTTGATAAGTTATGTTTTGCAAAATATTATATAAAAAATTATGTGCATAACTTTGCAACTTTTTAAGAAAATAAAAGGTGTGAGTATAACTTTTTAACTTTCCAAAAAAGGAAAGTTGCACAAATATTTTTTCCCAAAAAAGAAAAGTTATTGGGCTGGTGGGATGGCTGATTCACTGGGTTGGAGAACCAGGGTGTGCAGCAGAGCACGTGAAAAGAGAATGAACGCATGCGCGGCACTATCAAAATAGGGAAAGAGGTGGGAATTCATTATTATCGAAAAAGAAAACTATGGGACTGTCGAAATATTGTTCGCTAATTTAGAATCGAGTGATTGTTCGCCAATTAGTGGCGCCGATCTAGACAAATTAACCGTCCAGCCCTGCCCCATATCCCACCTGGGTGACACGGGCAGCGAACCTAGCCCCGGTAGCACAAAGCCTGTCCCTTCCTCCTCTCGCTTTTGCTGCTATAGAATTAATTTTTAGAGGTGTCTTCCTTTTATATAGAGGCGGTTCTATCAAAACTTTGTCTTTAAAAATGGCTTCTAAGTTGGTTCGTCCCTATACAAATTGATTTTTAGAGGCATATATGTAGAACAGTAAAATTCATAACTTTTGCAAATCAAGTCATATGAAGCCAAACTTTATATCAAAGTTGTAGGAGATATACATCTTCGTAGTTGATAACTTTTCTATTTGAACTCATTTAATGCCATAATTTTTTAAAATATTTAGAATTTAAAATTCATTTTTTGAATTTTTCAAAGTACCTCAGATGGAGGAACGACCTAAACTAAAAATACTCAAAGAGATATGTAACTTTATAGTTGATGACTTTTAAGTTTTAAATCATTTAGGTCCAAAAGTTCTATTTTAAAATTAATGATTTTGAAATTTATAATTTTTTTTGAATTTTTCAAATGACTCAGATGGAGAGCCTTCCCATAACAAAGTTATAGTGCTCGAAGAAATCTAAAACTTTTCTATTTAAAGTATTTTAATTTAAATTCGTTTAAGGTCTCAAATACGATTACAAAAGGAATATATCAACTACTTAGTCACAAGTGATTTTTAGTCACGATGGTTTAGGAAGCATTGTGCGAGGTCTGAGGCCATCAACCGGGACTAAAGTCCCCTCCTACAAAAACTGATGGGCTACCTGTTGGGCTGAGGATTTTAGGCCTGGTTGGTGGCTCCAACCAAGACTAATTCTTCCATTAGTCCTAGGCCCAACTCTAGCTGAGACTGAAGCTGAAAATGGATGGTCGTTTCTCTACTAGTGCTATGGCGGCATATACATGTATTTTGTGTGAGAAGTATTTCCCAAGTGATTGGCAAGAAGTCTATAGTGCTCTCCAAACAATTGTCCTTAGAATAATTATGGTTGATGTATACATCGCTCTTAGATGCTAGACAACCGATGAGTTGGGTATTGTTATTGTTTAGTGCTTTGTTTATTGATAAGAAACCTTCTTAAGGGTGGGCCGATCTATAGGATAGTAGGTCGAAGAATCAAAGATAACTTGCTGTGAGCAGCGGGATAACTAGCTTTATACCTGACAAAGGTTGGATGCGACCAAACGATGGGGAGAGAGGCACCGAAATTGTGAAGACTTTGACTCAATCTTCGAACGACCGCAGAATCACAATCCTGAACTAATTCAGACAAAAATGTGCAGCCGCACTGAAAACCATAGAGTACGAACTAGGGGATCGTAGATGAATCTCTTCACAAGTCCAAGAAGAACAAGGAATAACAAAGGTTTGAATAAGACACTCAGCAGCTCCATTGCAATATCATGCGGTTTACCGATTCATCAAAAGGTTCCTAATTGCTTAGAGGCAAGGGATATTTATACTAAGAACAACCCTCCTAGTTAGGTGTGAAAACAAAATGAAGTTTCTGAAGATAGGCTATGTGAAAGGTCATCACGAGATGGATTCCCAAAGTGGTCTCGCGTGACTATTGGTCTCCTAAACAGTCTCTACTAATCTAGCCATAACTCTTTGGGAAGTCAAAATGATGAGACGTTTTTGGGTGTGAAAGTAGACTCGATAAGCTTTCTAGCCATGCACAACATGCATCACAAACCATTGTAGAATGGTACAGTTTTGCATAGGAATTTGTACAAACATTCTGTCCTGGGAAGACTGTTGACCTTCTAAGCAGTCTTAACTAATCTGCTCATATCTCAATATTGGGAAGTCTAGAATACTTGGAACTTATGCCATTGGAAATAAGACTTGATAAGCTTTCCACAATGTCCTCATGGACCTCCAAAGATTCAAGAAATTGAGAGTTATGAATGTTTCTTTCAGCAAGTCCGTTTTTCACTGTGCTGGTCCGAACTGGTGTCCGTTTTTTCACTGTGCTGGTCCGAACTCATGGTCTGATTTTCACTGTGCTGGTCCGATCCTCATGGTCTGATTTTTGTAGTTCTCCCTCATGTAGAGTAGCATCCTCCTCTTTATGCGTGTACCTAATTACAGTCAAAATAGAACACTTAGGTAGTACAATATTCTCATGTACATTGAAGTTAATTTCAGCTAGGGGCGAGTTCACCTCTTTTTGGAGTAGTTTTGCATGATGACTATGCATAATTGGCCCTTCATACACTTGCTTATGTATAACTTAAGTAACAAGTGGCTTGTCCTCATCATCTTCCCCCTCTTGAAAAGGAGTTGTCCTCAACTCTGACTCTTCGGACCAAAGAATTGTGCTAGGCCATTAACTTGTAGGTTTTTAATAACATCATGATTTTCTTCTTCCATGATAGCAAGGTGTTTGAATCTATAATCATATAAACCAAGTAGTAGTCTTGGAGGTGGAAACCAATTGGATTTCAAATCAAGTTTAGATTTCACCTTGAATGGAAACTTAGGACTACTAGTGAATTTTGGTTTCCTTGGCACAGTCTCATCATTTATGTTTTCAGGTTCATACTTCATTCAATTAAAAACAAGGGGCATATGTTGACACCCAAAATGTACCAACATGGAATATGGGCAATGCCAACTAGTTATTAGCATCAAGGAAGTGTTGCAAATTATTTGGCGCCCAAATAATGAAAGAAACAAGCAAAGAATGAAGATATCTTAGCCGGTCGGCCTAGCTCGACACAGGCCGACTCGCCAAGCCGGCTAGGCTGGCTCCCTTGCCCAAGTCGGCTTAGCTGGTCAGCTAAGCGGCTGACTTCTCCCTATGCCATCCAGGCCACAGTGCCAGGGACCGTGGAAACCGGCTTAGTCGGCTAAGGTGACCGCTGATTCCTAGTTGATTTGGTTTCCAAATCGGTTTTAGACCTATTTTCGGATGCGAAAAACTTGGAGAACGCATTTTGGGATTGTTTCCTACCGGAATAAGACCACCGCCTCTGTATATATGAGAGGATCATGGCTAATTGAGGATCCTAACTTCCAATCGTTAAAACACAACACATCCCTTTTTGCCATACTTTCTCAGTACCTTGTTGTTTGTCACGTCTCCCAGCAAGATTTGGTGGCATTCTAGGTGGTCTTATCGACCCTAGGACAACCTCCACGTGCTCCTCTCTGATGGGTTTTCCCAGGAGGTGTTCGGGAGCCTACCAGGTGAAGAACGGGATCAACATCAGCCTAAACAGTCTCTAAATCTGTTTCGTCGATCCGCTACATTCTTGCTGCGATCAAGGTCATTTGTCGATCGCGGACGTGTTAGCCCTTACTGGTGTGTGATCCGGATCCTAATCAGCATCAACAATCGGGTATCTCCATCAAATTTCATAAACGTTGGGTATTTGAGCCCATGTATTGAAATACAGCTATCATGTACTCCAAAGCAATGAGAAAATGGCTAGTCATTGTGAAGCTAAGGGTATCATT